TTAAGAGTCACATACCCATAACTGCTATCGTGATATGTTGGAGAAAACACATCCATCTCTATAAGGTTTTCATGACCATTTGCAAGGACTGCTTGACTTTCTAATTCTCTATACATAAAGATACAAAAAAATGAAATTAGAGGTGCAATTTCAAATTAAAAAACAGGATGATCCCACAAAAAAGAATATACTAATTCTGTTGTGTAACTTATTTTGTGCAAAACAGAATGTGTATCTGCCTTCCATGCTGTCCTCTGAACTACAGGCTGGATTGTAACCTGAAGACAGTGTTATAAGGCTGCCTTTAGGTGGTCATTACCCTTTGGTGATCCCTCATTTATGTGCAAGTCCTTGAATAAAACTCTTGACTGCTGCCTGTGGCAAGGCAGGCTTAAGGACTGAGCAGTACGTAGTGGGGGATATTGTTCACTTGATGAGGCAGGATCAGAGATGAAGTAATAAAACTGAACTGAGACTATTAAAAGACAGTCTCTTGCTGGCTATCTGGCACAGCTAGCCAGCAAGAAAAATATGCAAGGGCTGGCTACCAGAGTGAATTGGGATCTCATGTTCTGCAAATGACAATGCACAGCAGCAGGAGAGGCGAAGGAAGCATCACAGTCCCTGGTTCTCTCAGGGAACAGTGAGGAAATGAGGGAGAGAAATGAAGTAAGCCACTATGATTTTGTTTAGAACCACATATTTCTTTTGTCCTATCTAAACCAGGGAATGATTAATGTGGGGGAAAAATACTTGGGTCCATTCTTACTTCAATGGCTTTGTACCTCTGAAAACAGGAATGATAAAACTCAAGGAATACTGTGCAAATGCTACTGAATTCTGAACTACTGGTGCTTGCCTAAGAGCCAGGGGACAAAATACACAGCATGATCAAATTCCAAGTACTTATGGTGACAGCAAGGGATATTTGAGCAGGAAAGATGCCAGAGGGATCAGCAAAAATCTAAAGTAAGACACTATTGACATCAAAGAAAGCTTATAAGCATATGGGCTTGGTGGTTTAGGATTCAAACAGATGCTCAGTGAGAACCCGACAGTAAGAGAAAGTCAGAAGAAAACAGAATTTTTTTGACTTCAGTCTTTGAAAACAATACTTAATTTCTAATGTGTGTATATAATGATCGCATAATTATGGCATGTCAATTTTTCAGATGCATTCACTCTCTCAGCAGTCTAAGCAGAGTCCTGTTCCTTCAACTCGCAGATCAGCAATGTGACACACCCACAGTGATATACAGGATCTTCAGAAGAGCAGGACTTGAACTCCATCCCCAGTTTCTGCCTTTATTTTGTACCATGAACATCTCTAATCAAGTCCATGTGGGAAAACCTGGAAGACTTATGGACTAGAATAGCTTTGAATTTGATTAAACCAGGCACCGTTTTAGTGGGTGGAATGTGTAAAATAGCTGCTTTGAGTAGCCTTAACCTCCAACAACACTGTGCTTTTGCAGACAATCAATCAGCCTCTACACAAATTGATTTAAAACTTCCCTGGAAACTATCAACACCCTTTCCACACCTTAATCAATATTGAAGACAACTGGATCATTAGCAGTCCACCCCAACAATGACATATATATATATGTTCATCACACTTTAGGAGTCTCTAAAGTCTTCACATTTTAAAATGAAGTTTGAATCAAGTTAACAAAACAGTTTTGAAATAACACATTCCAGAAAATCTTTTGCCTATACTATTTCTGAGGTATTCCAGTATTTTAATTAAATCCTTCAAAATGCTAAAATATTTTCCAGCCATCAACTATTTCTTCAACCAATATCTTCTTTTTTTTCTTGGCAAGATAAGTAACTAAGTATCTGAATACAGTAATGTTCCTACGACTCTACTTTTAATACTAAGTGGTAAGAGAAGACTAAGTAGTATCTGTGTAAACTATGAAAAACATGTTAGTTTCTTGGCTAGTTTCTATAAAAAATTCACAGTCCATCATAAAAAATGCAGCCATCTTTCAAATGAAGTATTTTTTGTAGCAAATCTAGTAAGAAAAAGCAAAGCTCTTCTTTGATTCACTGGCATGTTAGCACAGATTCTGAATAAAGTTATGTAATATTCTCAGAGATCTAGTCCTTGACTGGAATATGTAAATTTCCCCTTACCAACAAATTGATCTTTTACATTCAATGACTAAAATTAATGAAATACTTCCCAGGAAATGCACTAAGAGATGCTACCAGCTTATTTTTATCTACAAATTTATGAGTTCTAACATACTTTTCCTCTGTGCATCTCTAACATGCATAATTGATTGTGCATTAGAAAAATTCTGCACATTCAAATATTTAACAGAGAGAGTATTTAAAGAAATGATTTACTATGTGTTTTTAAATATCAGTAATTTAGGTCCTACTAGAACTCAAAGTCATGAGAATGTAACTACTGATACTGGTACTCAAGAAATCATTACTAAAACTAGTAGGTGAAAAAAAACTTAAAGTTCAATGATAATAAAAAACCTACTAATACTTAATTACTAAATCATCTTTTATCATATTCAGATATCTGACATGTAGTCATATATTTGGACGACTTTGGCTGTCCAACCAGTAATTCAAAGAACAATATGGAAAGTTTTTTGATTTCTTCAGAAGTTCATACTGAGCTCTAGTGCTGGATCCTCCAGCAGATCTACTGGCTCTACAAATAAACCTAACTTACAGCAGGCTAGGGAGCAGTAAAATAGTAAAGATCATTAACAATGAAAGGTCCTGCAGTCTGCAGGAAACATTATTCTACTTTTTTTTTTTTTTAAAAAAAATTATTTTATTTTTTGTTACTGTAGATTTTACTGAGCCCAAATAGAGGGAAGACAATTTCTGCCTCTGTTTGGTAATCTCATTGTCATTTAAAGTCAGCATCAAAGATGAAAGAAGCAATCACATAAATCAGTTCATTCAAGTTAGTTTTAGGTCCTCATAAACATTTAAGCAGAGTCTTTTTATATTTAAAAAATGTAAATTGGAGTTTCTGTTGGACATCATTGATCTGTAACCTCACTGTTCATCTTTTCAGCCAGTAACAGCAATGCTTCACACAAATGCATTGATTCTTGTTAATAGTACTTTGCACAGGGCCAAATTGCAGTATATTCTATTAAAAACACAGCTGAATCCAATATTATGGAATATATATCTTTTGAAATCACTTTCACTACTACTGCAGAGTGATAGGGACTAATACCTCCTTCAAGCTTTGCAAATACATCCCTCTCTCCTACGTGCACATACACAAATCCAGCCAATTCACTCTCCAGCTACACATGACAGCAAATATATGTCATTTTTATGCCACCCCTCATCAGTATGAGCCTATAGAGCAAGAAAGATAGTTGTGTATATATGCTGAAACATATATCACATCCTCTACCTCTAAATGGCTGTCATCTAAGTAAAAAAAAAAAAAATAGAGAAGAAAAAAACCCCCAACAATAAGCATAAACCAAAATATTACCGAAGAGGAAATCAACTTTTTTTAGTCCAAGAAAAGGATGAAGGAAGAGACCTATCACAAATTTTTTAATATAGTTGACACTGAGCCTGAAAATCACACCCAGTAGGGAACCTTAAACAAAAGGGGAAAAATCAATGACAAATAAGATGGGTTCTACACCTCCAGAGTTCCAACCAAGTAACACTATCAGAAAAACCATGGTAGTAGGGCTTTGTTAGTTTTCACATGAAATTTTTACATTTTACCTCATTCACAAGTGTTCAAAACTTGTACACTCAAAATACCCTTACCTTGTCATCAGAAATATTTAAAAGATGAAAAGACTTCACTCTGCAAAAAATACTTAAGGTTGGAAGTGGCATTCTCATTCAAGTAGTTTTACACCTTTATAAAGACAATAAAAACATGTATGGCAATAGAAGCAAACCCATCTACTTAAGATTAACTAGTATCCGGAAAACATCAAACATCCTTTTCCCCACTACAAACTTATTTTTTCTATAAGAAAGCTATTTCCTAAAGAACTAAGTTTGATTATGATGATGGAATCTCTTCAGTGGAATGCTGTTCCACAGTGTTTATGCCTCATAGACAGCACAGAAGAGTCCAAGAAAACTAAGAAAAGGAATAAGCATCGCAAACTAATAGGGGAGCTGCCTGAAACACCTATGGCACTAAAAACTACTTAAAAGAGAACCTTAAGGTCATGTATGTTTTAAATTAATTAATATCATCTTTACTTTGCTAAAAAACATAATTTAAAGGGATTCATAGAATAAACTGAAGCAATTTAATAAAGATTTTCAAGAATTACTGTCAACTTCAATATAGTAATAAATGCTCAGTTTAATAACTAAATTAGAATATTATGGCTTTCCTTAATAAAAAATTAGTGCTGATTGAGTGTTACATGAGTACTAATTAATCACTGTAGGTAAATTCAGCTCTTTGCCAGTAAGTCCTATCAACTTTTTTATAGATCATTCTGCACGTAAAAAAGCTAATGTCACCCTTCATATTAGTTGCTTCTTTCCTAGAGCCAGTTATCAATGACAAATTTATCATTACACCAGAACTGAGTTCTTTTGTCTCACCAAATCCTGCCACATTTAAAAACACCTAGCTTCATATAGGTATTTCTTTTAAGACACCAAGTACAAGAGTTAAAAACTATTACTGAATGTTATTTGACATTTGATCTGTATGACAGTAATGTTTGACACATTTCTGGCAAGCAACGCAAGAAATTTCTTCAAACAGGCAAAAGTCACAGATTATGAACAGGAAGGAAAATGCTTGAGTGGAAAAATTAAAATACTCTAATTACCCTGGAACAGGACTGTAAGGGAGAAGAGTGTCACTGAGGATTTTAGAGTGAGGACATATTTTTCAGGACTGAAAAGTTTTCAGTTTTGCTGCTGAATAAGGGGAAGTATCAGCTGCGTAACATTCAGTTAAATATTTTCATTAGCATTGCCACAGTCTGTAGTAGTACCCAAGTAATTACCTGCTTTCCAGTGGTGCATTACTGCCAAGCACCCAGCTGTCCTGCAGCTGGACTGACTCAGGTGTGGTTTGCAGCTCGGCGGGCAAAGCAGCCGGCGGGGCCGGACTCTGATTCCTCCTATTTGTCAGTGAGTTTCTGTTAAGTGAGGTGATGGATGGGTGATGCTGTGCTGAATGTTGCTTGTGAGAAGGTGGCAAAGGCTGCAGGGTCGACTGGCCTTGGTTATTTGGAGGTTGTTCTAAGAAGAAAGAAAATTAAAGTTCGTTATACAACATCTTGACATTTGTTAGAACCAAAGCAGAACGAGAAATTCAATATAATCCCATCATCTAATATATTTGCATATTATTCTATTAGCAGACATTCAGTGACATTCTGTAAGAGCAAGTTTACCCTTGATACACCAAGTTCTAATTAATACACAACAGATGGTAAAATTGCTTTTGGTTTTAATTTGTTTCAGTTTTTTTTTTTTTTTAATCTGGTTTTATTAACACCTACAGAAAATAGCATCTGACAGATCCCCTAATGTGCCTTTAGACTTCAGTTTTTTTTAACAAACCAACCCTGAAATTAAATGGGTAATTTCAGTAGAACACAAAGGTTTTCAAAAGGCATATAATCCCTATAATTATTTAATGGAGTTTTTTTAAGCTTTATTTAACTGCAATAAATTATTACAAGCTAGTTGCTAAACAGCAGTAGACTACTCTAGTTTAGTGCATTTCAAATAAGGCAGATCTGCACTATGATCTGCTAATAGATGCTAAGTATTCTTTAGCAGAAGGTCACTCTGTGAAGCAGATGTTGCTTCATGGATATTTAACAGACTGATTCACATCTGATTAGAACGTCAGAAGACTCATATACTTAATGACCGTCACATCCATTAGAACACACACAGAACAGATTTTCCAATTTCACACCATGCAATATAAATACAGTTTGGAGGAAGTCACAGGTGATAAGAGAGTCAGGCCGTCATAACAAAAGGAAATATTTTCTGACTTAATCAAAGCACACGACACCCATAAAGCTTAAAACCAAAACCTCAAAACAGCAAAACCTGCAATCAAATACCTCCATCAATGTTAGCTTTTAACAATCTGATCCATAAAATCAGTGGCAAATAAATCATAAACATAGGACAAACCTTTTACAACACAATGCACACAAAACTAAAGAAACCTCGACACTTAATTTACCACAATTTAGCAATGATTGATGACATTTAAACATGTAACACTTAATAATTATGTAATTCAAATTCCAATGTATTTCCTACACTAATGTATCAGAACATACTTCATAATATAAATGCAAGTCTTAAGCACAGCAGAAGATATAGGACATGCACTTTCCTCACAGTGCAAAAGCTTTCAGGTAGTTGTTTAAATTAGTTGTTTGATTTCCATAAGCAATTCCCTTTTGGAACTGGTTATAACTGCAGATTTCTACAAACTCAAATAACAAAACTCTGGTACAGAGAACACAGGAAGAGTATTTCTGTTGAAACAATAACTTACAGGTGACTGCTACAAAATTAACTTAACTCTGAGTAATTTCCCAGGTTGTGAACATAAGACAACATGAAAATGTTAAGAAATAGACTTAAACAGAAAAAACTAAGTCTTTGGAATAATTTTCTTTCTGAGAACCACATTCTTCTTTCCAGTGATTTTGTGTGGTTAATATGGCTTTTGTCACAAATAACAGCAATGCTGAATCTCTCATTAAAAGAATGACAGCATTTATACTGCTAGTGAGATTTTCAACACCAAATCCCTAATTTTTAATGCAAAATTCCAGTCCAGAAAGGATACAGCTGATAAGCTTTATCTTCACCAACACTGACACAAAGGCTGTCACTGCACGTGATTACAATCACTATCAAGGGCTTTAAGGCACATTTCAACAAGCCAGCTAAACAAAGTTAACAGACCAACACTAGAGCAAAGAATTTTCCCCATGTCTTCTTAAAATTTTATCTGATTTAAATAGCAAGATATTTATCAGCTGGTGCAAAATTTACTGCGGTCTTATATTTTGAAACATATAGGTGCATGTGTATGTAAAAAATTATATACGTGCACATGTGTCTGTATAAGTATTTACACACATGTATATGCAAATAGCTCCATATAAATTGCTAATTACACAAATTAATTACAAAATTTACAGAAAAATAAAAAACAGGTGGAATGAAGTAATACACATTAATTTGTTTTTAATCAGACAGATAAATTAATTAAAATTGTCCTTAGGGTCAGACTTTTCTTTTTTATTCCCTTTTAGATTCTCCTACCCGCCTAGCCTTTTTGGACAGTTTTGCCATGATCAGTGCAAAACCCTCCTCCATTGCAGCTCCTACCAGTTATGAAATGTTATTCTGACAGTCGTCTTGTTCATTAATTTCTCTTCTCATTTACAATCTCTGCTGAAAATCCATTTTCCAGTCTATCATTTTTAGTACTAAAGGTCTCGCACCATTCTCTGCTAAAGACAAAGTAGAGGATTAATCATTATTGTTCTCTTGCACAAAGGAGGGTGTGAGTGCCAGGCTTGTCTCAGGTAGATGTCAGACCTTCCCCCACACTCTACTACCCATGAGGAAGACGGCTACTGAAGGTTCTCTAAAGGGATATTTATATACCCCAGAAATAAATGCACAGATTTAATAATTACTCTGAAAATATGCTGGAAGAATGAAATTAGATTAGTCAGACCATAGGTCAGCTATGCAGGCCACTACTGGGGATTTAGATTATTTCCCTATAAATTTACTGAGAACCAAAAGGCCCTTCTGCTATATAACATATAAACATTACAGACACTGAAGATACAGAAGAACATATAAAAGAAATTAAGAGAGGCTAGAAGGCCACAGCAAGTGCAATTTGGCAAAAATCACTTGTCTTCCAATCCCACTTTCTATCTCCACAGAATGCTGACAAGTGACATTTTCTTGTGCCTGAGGGTGGCTTCAATTGGCAGGGAGTCTACAGCTTCCTCAAAATCAAAAATGCCTGAAAAATCTGGAATGATTTATTTCTTTTCTAATTGTGCGAAAGCTACAGGTAGAGGTGCATTTAACAAGGTTAGTTTTTCCATAAATCAACAGAGCTAAAATCTATGCTCTAAATTTCCTCTGTCCTACATTGGCATTCTGAATGAGAGATCACTGAGGACTGCTTTTTGGATCTTTTCTTCAGTCTGACAGATTTTCCCAATACACAGCTCTTCTGATTGCTACACAATTTCTAACAAAACCCTAATGTTGTACCACTGATTTGTGAGGAAGAGAGAATCATCACAATAGTCATGGTTTGAATGCAATTCTTAAGCTGGATCCAGATTCCCTTTTTTCTCCTTATGGAGTTAAGAGCTAAAGAACAGCTTTCAGTATTACTGAGGTTTTCACACAAAGCCATTGGTCTTACAGAGTAACAACCTCTCAACATCCTGGTGACACTGAAAATATTCTCACTGCAAATGCAGGGAAACTGAGGCATGTATGTTAAGTGATTCACACAGCTCTCCTGAGAAATCAGCATTACTGCCAGAATAGTTCCAGTTTTCTTGCTTTTCCTACTGAAGTTGTTTATAAGGACAGTGGGATGACACAACATGTACCTCATAAACTCTGCAGTACTGGACATTACTCCCTGTAATAATAGCCCTCCATGTGCTGCAATATTGAGTGTCAAGACCCTGTAACTCCTCTTTCCTCCCTATCAACCAGTTTGTTGGAAAAGGGAAGTCCTAGAGGGAAATACTTCTTCCCCTGGCTACTGAAGAAACAGCAGCCCTGGGACTGGGCCAGCTCCCTCACAACAAACCATTAGAAGAAGCTTATTAGAAGAAAAAGCATTCAAATCTGATAAAGTACAATTGGGTTTAAATACTTAAAAACTATTCCAGAGAGATACAGTTGCTTTGCTTTGAATTGGATTTTAAATGCAATCTTAATTGATTTAATCTAAATGGGAGTGCCTAATTTACACTAAAAATAAGCAGATATGGGTAGGTACAGGTAGGCTTATGTCTAAAAATGTTAAGTTTTAATTATAACCTTCCTGTTTGGTCTAGACCTAATGACTGTAGAGAAATCCCATTCATCTTAAAGAGAAGATTTCTGAAGCAAGAAGCAAACATAAACTTTGCTTAAAACTGGCCCAGCAACTAGTCTGTCAAAGTTCTTCAGGTGCAACAAACAAACCCCACATTTTTGAGGTATTTGTTGAGTAAATTAACATCAGATAGTTATGCGTGTGACCACATGTACAGAACTTGGAAAAGTCACAAGAAATTGGGCTGAAAGCTGTCTTACTACAATTACATGGTTTTTTCAAAACATATTTGAATTGTTATTTACCCTAGGGAATCACAATGAAGCAAAGCAGCCATTTCAATTGCAGAGGTAAATTGTATGCAGCTCTGTAGCCTTTCACAAAACCTTTCCCTCTTTTATTTTGCAAAAAGTAATCTACATTTAATTAATTTTATCATTTAATTCTTACAGAATTTAAACAGCATAGAAGGAGAGACATTTATGATACCTACAGCCATGTGGGGAAAAGGAGCTAATTCAGAGGCAGAAAAGCAGACCAAGTATCCATGAAAAAAAGTAATTTGTTTTGTGTGATAATCTTTCTATAACAGATAGATCATTGAGACCTATCAGCTAGCTACTCAACTAAGAAAAAGAGAGGTGATTCCATTTGATAAGGATTAGGCTTTTAAACAATGTATAACTAAGATGAACTTAGAGTTTCCATGACAAACACAAAAGCAGTCTTCCATTATGTTATAAACATTTCAAATGTGAATAAAATGCTATTCAATGTCTATGTCTACAAGGGTCTTAACTCCTTCTGGTCAGGCTGCTCCTTTTCTACTTTCTCTTTAGGAAAGTCTCTGCCATGGTAAAGGGAATATCTATAATACATATTAGAAGTAAGAATCTGGAGTAGACAGAATGTTTTAGGAATCTGGTAACAAAAAATACAACTTTTTTTGTTTGCAGGTCACTGGTCCCTGGTCTGCTAGCCCTTGATTGCGCTAGCAGTAAAAAGTAATTTCCGTAAGAACTGATTTCCTCAATAAAACCCTTCAATGGACTTGAAATTTTACCTAATTGACATATGGTCATATCTCCAAAAGTACTGTAAGCAGAAGTGGGTTTTACCTCAGAAGTCCCTGCAAATTGAAAAGAGTGGGTATTATGGCTTAATTATT